TGTAGCATGAATTGAATGAACATACTATTAGCAAATATCAGTGTTATTTTACAAAGTTAAAGCATTTGATTTATTTTAGTGGCCGGGGTTTCCCCTTGTTCATCTCAATACATAAACAAGAACTGTGGAAATCATAACTCAGTTTGGAAAGTTACTCAGAATAATGTCTGGTGATTATCTTCCAATTACCAGTGAATTATTTCTAAAAGATATTTTAATGTCAGGTTCAGTAGATGATTAAGCAGAGCACAACAGCTTTCTACAAACTTTTTAGGAACACTTCTCTCTCCCACTTTAAAGTATTAAACTTTTCTATTATATTCATATTAAAATACAAATCCATAAAATTATATTGTAATATCTACAATACCATGATTGTGACACAATACTTTTTAAAATGTTTTACAAGTCAGGTTTAGTAATTACATGTAAAAATGACAAATTGTTGAACCTCCTGAAACTCTCTCACCTGTTCTCCTATATATTTTTGTTCATTTTTTGCACTCCATAATTTTTTTAAAAACAGAGTAAATTATAATGTCAATGGTTAAACCATGCAGATGACATAATAGAAGGTAACATTTTTTGTTTAAAATATATTCTTGGAAGTGCATAACACAGTTAATTCCTTTAAATGAGCTATGCAACAAATGAAGAGGTACAGGATGTGGCAAAATTGAATAAGGAACAGATGTGGCAGAATATATAAGCGCACGGGTAAAGTTCAAATGGAATGCATACACAGTTGCAATAAAAATATTCAAAAAACTTGAGAAAAGATTAACTTAATATTTTTAACAAAGTTGAACAAGGAAGTGTGTCTGAAAACTTTGGTGGAAACTCATGTGTTCTATCTATTCATTTACCCAGTCTGAAATTATAGGATATATATTTTAAAAATAATTCCAAGAATTTCTTTTGCATCAGTCTTGGATTAGTTAATGCAAGGAACAGAACATCAACAGTCACTATATAAGACAGAAATATAAAGGCAGAGTGTTATTAACAGGCAAAGCAGGCATGCATTGGCGTAACATGCAACACAGCACTTGCAGCCCCTCCAGAATAAACTCAAACATTTAATTCATGCTATTGTTGTTATAATTATTATTTAAAATGCAGAAAAGTATATGGAGCAAAATTTGCAGTGTAAAGGGAGAAAGTAAACTCATTTGCAAATTTATTCTAGTACCTCTACTTCTCTATCCACTTTTTTATTTATACCATAGACAATGCAATGAAGTGTACCTTCTGATGTGCATCCATCATACAGATGAATATTCATACATAAATCTCACTGAATACAATACAGGAGAGACAGATTATATTTGTAACAGATATTCATTCAGCTATACATCTGGTTCTTGATCCAGTAATTTTTTGCACATTATTAGAGTCAAGATTAGACTCAAACCTATAAAAAATCTGATTCAAACCTGCATTTATAAACAATTTAAATGGACATATTTATATTTTATTTTTTTAAGAGCAAATTATGCCATATGAAATTACATATAGCTCATACAAATGAGTCAATAATGAAGTAGCATTTCAAAGAATCATGTCATGTGGAAATACATTTATCAAGATCAATCAAACTGGGACATTAAGGTATTATCCCATTTAGCACTTCTTGTAATGCAGTGGTGGGCAGCAAACAGTCCTGCAGATAATTCTGGGCTACAATTTCTTCACACTTCACCATAATAACAGAAAAATAAGGAGAGGCAGAAGCTTATATTGTGACTGAAACAGTAATGTAATTCCCTCACAAATCATAACAAGTGACATGCTGAGAAGGAACTACTTTTACAAGAGGATGAAGTTAGTATAAAGAACAAAGATCATTTCTGACAGATTATTAGAAAATCATACTTTAAAACAAGGCCATAAGCAGAATTTTTCATTTGTTTAATTCTTTGAGATGAGAACAATATATGTTGTTAAAGTCTAGAATTTTAAAGAGTTGGAATATTTTGTATAATTACATACTAAGAAAAAAATACTATAACTATGCAACAGGCTACCTATCACCATTTTCCCCATATCCCAAATGGTAACATTCAAGTAACTGGACTAACAAAAAACAAAAACATAGTATTAATTCCACATCACATAGCATGGTTTAAAATAATGGACAATATTAATTATTTTAATGTAATGTTTAAAGTTCTTTTCCCTTGCACTGTGGAATATGAACATTTGACATACTTATTACTATATTTCAAACTTCTGCACATAATACAATCAGATCTATGCATTTGTTTTAAATGAAGATTATGCACCAATCATTTGCTCTCTGGATTGTATTTTCCCAAAATAATATGTACCATTATGGTGATGAAGCAGATGGAACTATACACACACACACACAACACACATACATACAGCAAGCAGATATTTTCTCATATGTAAATCATACTCAAGGTCCACAACACACTATGTGTCGATTTCACAGGACAAAACTAATCACAGGGTAAAAAATACTTTAATAATGCAGCACAGAAGATCTAAGTATCCGCTGAAAATAATGAATACTAGCTTCATTTTTCAAGTTTTCAAACAGTACAATAAATTTACATAATACAGATCAGTATGTAAATACCCAGAATTCATAAACACAACTATAACCACTACAAACTAAAAAGAACTATTCTGCCTGATTCCAAACTAATGTGTTTTCCTTCAATCTACTGCATTCCCCCAAAAGACCACCCTGAGTTTAAGGTGATTTCTCCTGCTCAAGGAAGAGCAGACATAAAAAAGTATAAACCCAGACAAAAATAATTTGCAATGCCCAGCTTTTTCTCCTTGTCAATCTAAGATGAACCCTCCTCCCCAATAAAAGTATATACACATAGTTGCCAGAAGGAATACTCAAAAAATGGGTAGCATCAGGTTAAAAAAAAAAGAAAATATCCATCAAATTAATAATTACTGAGTAAAATTAACTGCTTACAAATAAGTTACCTTGTATATAGTAAAATTAATTTATCTTCAGCTACATGTAATAACCAATCATTTTTTCTCATGCATGCAAACTACTCTCATATGCAAAAGTACACAAGTACACACATACACACACTTTCCTCCCTCCTTCAAGAAGAAACAACAAAAAAAAAACCAGAATGGAGATAGGATGAGTGGAAAAGACAGCTGGACAGGGAAGAAAATAAAGGAGAAACAGGGCCCTGTTACAACTTACAGAAAGAGCTGAATTAATCAGCCAAGTAGCATCATCCAAGCAGGCTAATCTTTAAAGGCACCAATGCTCTGCAGTCATTTGCACCTCTTATTCAGTTCTTTTTACCAGCATTTTAATCTCCAATTCTTACCAATAAGTTCCTGTATAATTTGAAAAACTAAATGTATTAATTTTTTGTCAACATTAACTCCTCCACTGTGAACTTTATCAGCTTTGTTCAACCACTGACTTATAAATGCTGACCTGGTTCAGGTTTCAAGTTAATAAAGTTCATGCCACAGAATAAACCTTGTGTCCACACGTTCTTTTCTTTTCTATTCCCCTTACAAGGAAGGCATTGTAATTTGATAAATCAAAATGATGTCTTGTTACAAACTGGAAAGCTGATGTTCACATACCACATATAAACCAGTATATGAAAGCAGGATCTAGCATGCAAACCTAGCAATAAATAATAATTTTCCTGGGGTCTTACACCAAAAATATATATTTGCAAGCTATGACACTTTTATTACAGCTTAAAAAATTAAATGCAAAGAAACATAAAAGAAATGTTATTTGAATATGTGCATTATACTTCTATATCATCTTCTCACAATTCACCAAAATGGTATTTTTAAAAAGTATTTAAAAAGTTATATTAAACTGCAAAACATACTAATAAAGAATTCTGTCTTTGAAAAAAGACCCATGTCAAGAAAAATTAACATTTCTGCCTCAAAAACTTCCCAAAATTTTCCCTTCCCAAAGAAAGCTCTTTTTAACTAAACTTCCAGAATCTTAGAATATTCATAATTCAGTTATACATTCCAGAAGGAAAGCTACCCTTCCAGTGGTTAACAAACTTTTCTGTAAATTAAAGAAATTCAATCCATAGTTCCTTGCCACTTGATTCTATTTACAGGAGGAAATGTAAATGAATACAATTAAAAATTAGTTTATAAATTACAGACCAATGGCATAGTATCAATACTGCTGAAACCCAGTGTTCTCAAAAACAATTCTGAGAACCTAGAAACCACCTTTATTTTCATGGAGCTTCATTTTCATCTTTAGATACGAAATGTGAAATCCAACATCATACAAAAATCTGCTTGATTAACTGGGCTCAGTCTCTAAAGGAGCCAACCAATTTCAAAAGCGTGCAAGATGCTGTAAAGGAAGGATCTGCTGATAAAAGTAGTTCTGTCAATGGAAGAATTTAACACATTTTCAAGAAGCTGTGAATGTTCTACCTGCCAGCTATTGTAAAATCTTTTCTATTTAACTCTGAACTTCAGCTTGTTAGAAAGAAATCTTACCAGGATTGTTTCTGAGCCAGGAATAAAATACACAGGCAGTTGCTTGAACCAGAGGTAGGTTTATTTCTGAGAGCGCAACGTACAGAGTCAAGTGTCAGAGGCGGCCGCGTCAAGTCCTCCCTGGAAGTCTTTTACATAGAGAAACCTTGTTTTTGTTCCTCGAAAGCGCATGGAAGCGCACCCTTTAGGAATTCCAAGAAAGTGCACTTAGTCAGCATTCCGAGAGGGAGCGCTCTGCAGTCAGGCACCCTGCTGAGCCGCTGTTCCACTTGTTTAGCATTGCTGATTGAAACAGTAATCTCTTTTGGGGAAAGGATCTGCAAGGAGACCTCCAGCTAAGCTCAGCCTGGAAGGAATATTCACCCGATTAGACTGGCATTTCCCGCTGCATTGTGTTGAGCCCATTCTAATTATAAATTTTAACCTTTTGCCCTGAGTACGGGGGGGGGGGGGGGGGGAGGTTGTACTGCAGAAGGACTTGATTTCCTTCCCACAATCCCCCCTTTCTGCATAGAACAGAATATTTTATTCCCAGATATTTTCCATTTCTGTGTGAAGTCCCAACCTGATTAGTCCTCTGACTCCTGAAGCCAACAGCACAAGTATGAAGCAGTTAATCAGAAAGCCCATTCTGCTAGTTTCAAAGTCCCAGATAGTTTAGAGTCCTAGAAAGCTTTTCAAGCCCCACTGGTTGGTCTCTGGATCTTTCACGAGCTTGATTGGTGGCAGTCTAGGGGTCGCAGGAACCTCAACACTGTGGTCCACCACTGCAGGCTTCATGCATGACCAGTGAATCCAGGTGTTTGCTCTGCCACTTTCACTGCCATCTGAGTTGTCAGCAGCACTTAGAATGATCCCTTCCACCTCAGCTGTAGTGGGAGCTCCTGGTGAAGAAGCGGATCCGTACCCAGTCTCCAAGTTCAAAGGGATGCAGGGCTTCCTCTAGTGGCAGGGTCTGGGTCAGGGAACTCTGTCTCCACAGTCGTTGGAGGTGCCTGTGTAAGGAAGAGAGATAGGAAAACAACAGTGTCCCCCCTCTCTAGGCTCAGTGAGTGCAGATCTAGTCCCTTCATTACATCTGGTGGTCTTCCAAATAATAGTTCAAATGGTGACAATCCTGTATCTTTTCTGGATCTAGTCCTTAAATGAAATAAAGCACCAGGCAAAACCCGGGGCCAGGACAAATGTGTCTCCTGACATAATTTACATAACAGTGTTTTTAACACCTTGTTCGTCCTCTCCACCGCCCCCAATGGGGTGGACTGGGTATGCAAATTTTGGGTAATGCCTAGGGCTTGCAAAATATGGGTGATAACTTGAGAAGCGAAATGGTTGCCATGATCCATATCTAATGTAGAACAGAACAGAACAGAATACTTTATTGGCCAAGTATGATTAGACATACGAGGAATTTGACTTCGGTGCAGAGAGCTCTCAGTGTATGTGCACAGCATCAGGAAATAAAGAATAATAAAAATAATATTATATACTAAAACTATGCAGTCAGAAGAGGAGAATTGGAAGAAGAATAATGCTGCGGCTATTGACTAACATATATTCATTTTTAAAAGGAGAAGCTATTATCCAACATATAT